CTTGCTTTGTGCACTGGTGCGCAGTCATGTTGGAACAGGAAGGGGCCATCCCCAAACTCCTCCCACAAAGTTGGGAGCATGAAATTGTCCAAAATGTCTTGGTATGCTGATGCCTTAAGAGTTCACTGCGTGCACAACAAATATTAGGCAAGTTGTATTTTTGAGGATTCATTGCACTAATGAACAACTACAGTGCTGTCGGTCAATCCAAAATGTTAATAAACCTCAAACTTGAATATTAAAAGGAGAACTATGAGGGGGGTGCTTTTCACTCACCTCATAGTTCTAGCCGACCTGTGACAATGAGACTGTCACAGGTCGGCTCAGTAGATCGGGAGGTGAGCGAACACATACCGGCGTTCGCTCACCTCTCAATCGTGTCACAGCTCTCTGCCGTGACAGGGGGGGGGCTGGATTCCCCCCTCCCCGCTCCGATCCGCCAGCGCTGATTGGCGGAATGGACGGGGGGGGGGCGGGTACAGCTGGCTCTGCCTCTAGATAGGGATCCGCATCTACATAATTGTCGGGATCCGCTTCAGCTGCGGCGTCTCCAGTATACCGCGAGCTACAGCTCGTGGTATACTGAGCCTAGGGTGACGGGAGGACGCTAGTTTGTGTCCTCCCGTTACCCTAAGGAGAACTATGGGGAAAAGCCTTAACCCCATAGTTCTCCTTTAAGAAAGTAAAAGTGAGGTCTCTCTGTGTGCACAATTATTTTGCAACTAAATGGAAAATGAAAACTTTCCCATCTCACTTGTTTATTTTCATCTGTTAAAGTGAAAATAAGAAACAAACAACTCAAAATTTAGAAATAAACATTTCTGGCATTTTCAAAAACAAAATCAGTGACCAATATAGCCCCCCTTCTCTTCAATACCACCCCTCAGCCTTCCATCCATGGAGTCTGTCAGTTTCTTCATCTGTTGACCATCAACTTTTTGTGCAGCAGCAACCACGGCCCCCCAGACACTGTTCCCCTTCATTGTGAATCTCCCGTTTATGAAGGGTCCACAAGTTCTCGGTAGGGTTTAGGTCAGGTGAGGAAAGCGGCCATGTCATTATTCTTTACTGGCTAGCCACGCAGTGGAGTACTTGGATGCATGCGATGGAGCATTGTCCTGCATACATATTACGATCAGACTTTTTCCTGTACCACGGCTGGAAGAAAGTGTCTTCTAAAATCTGGCAGTAGGTTTGGGAGTTGATTTTGAGTCCATCTTCAACCCGAAAAGGTCCAACTAGCAACTTGGGCATATTGGAGCTGACTTTTCTTGTGCTTTTCGGTCACGTCTTGGAGTTCTGGCATGGAAACCGTCTGCGTTTAGTACGCACTTTACTGCGCAAACTGAAACCTCAGTACCTGGGGCCACCAAATCTTGCTGCAGGTCTCTTGCAGTATCAGTAGCATTCAGGGTGATTGGAGCCCGAGCCCTCCTCGCAGGGTGATTGGCGCCCGAACCTTCCCCGCAGGGTGATTGGCGCCCAAGCCTTCCCCGCAAGGTGATTGGAGCCCTAGCCTTTCCCGCAGGGTGATTGGAGCAATAACCTTCCCTGCAGGAAGATTGGAACAATAACCTTCCCTGCAGGGTGATTGGAGGCCTAGCCTTCCCTGCAGGGTGATTGGAGCCCTAGCCTTCCCTGCAGGGTGATTGGAGCCCTAGCCTTGCCCGCAGGGTGATTGGAGCTCTAACCCTCGCTGTAGGGTGATTGGAGGCCTAGTCTTCCCTGGCACAGGGACTGGACATAGGAGCTTAGTGTTCTCTGTACAGCACTATGGAATATGTCAGAGCTATATAAAGATGCATGGCCAATAAATGACTTTGTATCAAGTGTTACCAAATAATTTTTTTGATCCTTTTAGGAGAACAAACTGATGAGGAGTCAGAACCTCTGCAGCCTGAAGCTTCCGGATCTCAGTGAGGCAGCTGAGCAGGAAAGAGGTACGAGGCTGGAGGTGCCTGGTGCGTTTTTTGTTTATTATCTGCCAGTAATTGATGTTATCATTAAGGGAAGGCTGAAAATTCAACGACCAGGACTGGGAAAGGTGCTATTGTCCTATAGCAGATGGTTTCTGAAATGCAGCCAGGAATCTGGTTGCCCTCAGCAACAACTCCAGTTATCCTAAATCATTTTTAACACCAGGTTGAGTGGAAAAGTGATGACCCTCCTGTGTTCTCAGCTCCGCCCACCAGCCTTGGCATGGTAAGGGGTTCTCGCTCTTCCTGGTGAAGTTTTTATTTTTTGCATTTCAGAGCACGCAGCAGAAGACTGACCGTGAGCCCCTTATCATGCCGTGGCCAGTGGGCAGGGTTGGGAACACAGGAGGGCCATCAGCCTGTCAATCCTTTGTCCAGTGGAGGGCACATATTCCATAATGGAACGCCATTTATCCTTGTATTATTGGTAGCAACTTTCCAGCCCACGGGTTCATTGGCCATTACCATTAGGTATCTGTAACCATACTGTGTTCATACCCGGATAAAGGAGATTTAAACAAAGGAGCAAAAATGTTGTCTGTCACAGCTGGCCTGTCCTTGCATGGGGTGGCTGCATTAGTTTTCATTTTTCAGACTAAGAACATTTTCAGCAAGTACAGAAAATACATGTTGATCCCGCCAGAAATGCAATGCCCTCATCACTTCCTGTGAGCTGAACTGAAAGCACAAACAATGTTATCTCTCTTTTGTAAATTCTGACTCCCACCATGTAACGAAGATGAAAAGCGCAAGAAATGTTTAACGTTCCTAAACAGGTTACCTCGGCACACGCTAGGAGCTAAAATATAACTAAACTGCAGCAATCCTCTGCTAATCTGATAGAAGAAACAATAACAATGTATTAGTCAGCGATCACCTTAAAGGCTACGCTTCCCTTTCGGACCGTGTTTCACTATTCTGGGCATAACATGAAGCGTGGTCACATCCCCAGCTGTGTTTAATCACTGCAGTACATTGCAATGCAGGTGCAGTGCGTTGCCAAACGCTGTGGTGACAAAAAAGTACTGAGTGCCCTACTCTTCTCCAGTGCAGTGTTGTGATCTGAAATGGTAACACATAAGGCAGGGCTGTAGCGAGGGCAAGGCGACTGAGGCTCTCGCCTCGGGCACAGGTGCTGGGGGACCGCCGGCTGCCAGATCCTGGCTGAGAATGTGACCTCCCCTCCCCAACAGGCAGGGGAGGGGAGGGGGGGGGCACGTTTTTTTGTTTTTGCCTCGGGTGCAAAAGGAGCTAGCTACATCTCTGACGTAAGGCAACTTGCGTTGAGACTGCGTTGGACATCTGCTGTCCAGTGAAGCCCAATACATATGGTGTGAACAGACCAGCAATGGAGGGTTTAGTGTATTATCACAGCCTTGTCTTTAAAGCAAACCTGTCATTGTGTCCATTCCGGGTATTTATGGCGCATCAGTAGCTGTAGGGTTGAATGCTGCTGCCCAGTGATAAGCCACCACAAGGCCTGATGGGAGGCTTATTCATGTCCTGTTGGGCTTATCATCGGCGCAGCGCTTTGGAAAGGACCGGGTCTTATTCCTGGGAACAAAGCGGCACATGCACACACTCCATGGAAGCAGAAGGTTTAAATTTTTTTATACATTTTAATTTAATTCAGTGTATCGAATAGAAAGAATTGTTACAGCGGCAGGTACAGCATTAAGTGGCGGGTACAGGGTTTCGTGGCAGGTAAATGCGATGAGTAGTAGGTACAATGATTAGCATTGCTCTGCTGGCACAATGGAAGGTCAGATTACCCGTTATGAAACCTGTGAGAGACAATATTCAGTGGTTGGCAGAGCTGGTCGTGGTTGTCCAAGTAAGCCCTGACCTCCTCAGTCATGGTCGGTGATGCTCAGACCGGGCAGTCTGTACTGTACTTATATCCTTCATTTTCAGGGTCTTCGCCGGTCCATGAGGATGGTGAGGAGAATGGAGAAGAGGCGAAGGCAGAATCCGATGTCATGCCAAACATTCCCGATATCTTATTACGCAAGTTGCGGGTTCACAAGAATCTTCCCACCAGGTAGAATACTTTTAATTGCTTGGTGTGCAAAAATGTGCTTAAGATCCAGAAATGATCCAGCTGGTACTTATATATTGTACTGTGTATGATCAAGACCATATAGTGCAATGCAAAGCAGGTGGTTCCTCAATAAAGACTAATTCCTAGATAGATAGATAGATAGATAGATAGATAGATAGATAGATAGATAGATAGATAGATAGATAGATAGATGAGAGAGATATAGATATGGAACAGAGAGAGGGAGAGAGATATGGAACAGGGAGAGAGAGGGAGAGACAATAGATAGAGAGATAGATACCGGTACTGTAGATAGATCGCTTTTGTGTTCATTCCACCAACCACATGTATTGGGTTTATGGATTTCTAGCGGGTCAGCTGGTATTTTATTTGGTACAGGCAGCATTTTTTTCTAGGGCAAACTTGACACATGGCAGTCCATGGCCCTGATTGAAAAGTAATTGATTATCATGATGGCTATTGAACAGTCTGAGAAGCAGGAAGCTGAAACTGTCACAAAGTTACCCCAGTCCTCAGTATGATCTGATATCGTTCTTCCTCTTTACTCTGTGTCCTCATCTCTCTAATTCCTGTACATTCGGATAATTCCATATAAAATATTATCTCTTTCCATTGCAGTGCCCCGCCACTGACTGAGAAGGAAGTTGAGGTGAGTCACCTGCGGAAGATTTCCTGAAACATTTACAACTCTTACTCTGCAAGATTGAATGTATAGAACACCCTTTAGTCCATATGTTTGTGTGTGTGTGTGTGTATATATTTATATACACACACACACATAGATAGATATATATCTATCTATGTGTGTGTATATGTATATAATATATATATTTTCACATAAATCACTGAATGTATCTTTCAGTGCTGATTTGTACATTTACATAAAGTCTATTTTATTAACTTCCCACACTTACCGCATAGTATCAAATAGGCTGAGAGTTATATAGTCAGGTGGAAAAAAGACACCACTCCATCGAGTTCAACCATGGGAGGATGGGAGTTTATGTTCTTCAGTTACTCTATTTTATGGTATAGTGTCGGTATCCTAACATCTTTAATGCCCCTGGGGACAGGAGGGGGAGGAGATCACAGTAACGCCGCACCAGGAGGTTGCTGCTTCTTCAGGGTCCAATAAGCGAAAGGCGTGTTGTCGATGAACCTGGGAAGCAGCCTTTCAGTAGTGGCAAGCCTTCCTGGCTATAAAGCATGGAGTGGGTATGTGAACTGTAAAAAAGGCCGAACAGAATTGCCAATATTCTGACATGTTGAGCAATCTATATAAAGATATGTCAGACTATTATTTGGAGCTCTGCATATCCAAACAGCTGCATGCACAGTTATGTTTTTCTCTTTGTGTGGAAAAAGGGCACGGTTTGGTTCTTCCGTCTCTCCAGCACCAAGTAGAGAGCCCTTCTCCACCCCTGCCATGTTTCTGGCTGGCTAAAAGTTTGGCTTTTCAGTTAAGTTACTTATATCACCAGATTCTTAATTCCCTTATATACCCATGGAGAACCCTCTGAAGGGTATAAGAGGGTCTAGGGCAGGGGTAGGCACCTCCTACAGGTGTGCCCCAACAGAGTAGGTGAAAGAGCATTCACTTCTCAACAGAGGAGGATGATGGGGAAAGGGAAGAAAAAGGGGATGGGCAGTAAGTATACTAAATACCAAGTATGTCTGCCCTTTGTATAGAAACTGTCCAATTCTAATTAAAGTGTAACCAGGCTATCCACTCTACACCCAATTCCCTACAAGGCAAACTATTGCAGGCTATGACACCCCCACCCCCCCCCTTCCTGTCCACCAAAGCTGGTGCCATCTTGGCTAGATTGTGGCACTCCACTTCCTGATTGGTAGCAGCCGCCCATTACCAATGTCACTACTAAGTCCTACTAAAACCAAACCTCATTACAGAAGAGTAGATGTCATGATGCTGGTAATGCTACATCACAACCCTTCTCCATGGCTAGTAGATAGCTAGGAGCTGGCAAGAGTTTCTGCTGGTTGGGAGTGGGGAGAGGTGATGTCGGCCCCGGCTCAGAATAGAGCAGATCCAAGGACCTGAATAATGGCGAGAATTTAGCAGTGAATGTGCATGTGCCACTTGCCAACCTGACATAGAAAATTGGCACAGAACACAATGGAATATGTTCTTCTGAATTGCTCACTACTTTTGGACCTCATGCAAGCATACTCTTTCTGCTGCCCCAAGGCCGGGTTCCTCAATTGCCTGAAGCAGGGCCAAATGTAGAAAAAAACTACCTACCTGGTGGCCGTGCTGCCCCTCTACTCCCTGCTGCCCTAAGGCGCGCCTTGGTGGCCTTGTGGGAAACCCGGCACTGCATGCAAGGTGAGCTTTTGAATAGAACAATTTTTAATTGTCGAGTTTAGTTCCACTTTACCCTAAAACAATATCTAATAAGATATCATATATACTACCTTAAACTAAACACCTATAATGATATGAGAAGAAAAGGAGTGTTCTTTCAATTCACTTTCCACATTGACTGTGCCAGGGACCTTTCCATATTTATGCCACGCCTGTCCCAAAGGGCGCCGGATATCACCACCAAAAATAATATTTTTGCCATTCCGTGTGTCTGTCATTCCACAGAGCGTGTTTGTCCAGCTCTCTCTGGCCTTTCGCAATGACAGTTACACTCTGGAGTCCCGACTGAAACAGGCCGAAAGGGAACGCAACCTGACCGAGGAGAACAACGAGAAGGAGCTGGAAAACTTCAGAACGGCCGTCGTGGTAAGAAGATCGAGGAGTGTCAGGATAAAACAAATGTTCAGTTAAAGGAATCAGCCACAAACACATTTAGCAGAGACAATCGCACTCTTAAAAGAGTCAAAAAACCACCTTGATTTTTCCTTCCCTCTATGAAAAAAATGGGGAAGTTTGGCCAAAATTTCCTTTTTTTTTTTTCTTCACCAAAGGGAATCTTCTGAATTTCGTTCCTCTCTAGTACCTTAATTTTTGTTTCTGGAAGTTCTGCCTGATAGAAAAACATCTGCTCCACCTTAGTTTCATAAGGGGGAGTGTAGGCCGCACGCCGCCCTACACTCACCCACCGTGCAGGTTCGTATGGATGCGGGTGTCCTGGCTCGGGCGCAGACGTTATCCATCCTGTGAGCGTACGAGTACTCTCACCCACACGGACGTGCAGGGCGGTTGAGCGTAGGGCGTCGTACGGCCGAGTACTCCCATAGAGAAGGACAGGGGCTGCGTACTAATCACACGCAGCACCTGTCCTTCCCGGTAGCTGCCCGATACGGCCACGCACGGAGCTGTACATGCCGACAGTTTCTAGTGTTAATGAGGCCTTATGGGGACAGCCATGGTATTCTATTTTAGAGATGGTAGTGATGATTTACTAAAGGACTGTTCTCAAATCGAATGTTTTCTGTGTTAGAACAGAAGTAGAACTGAAGGCAAACTTTTTTAGCCTTGGACTAAAATTTCAACTTATTTTTTTTTCCATCTGTGTCCCATTGGGGAGATTTCCCTTCATTTCCCATCTGATGGCCACAACAGGAAGTTGGGAGGAAATCCCTCCAATGTGAGGGACATCCCTGGTGGTCAGCAGGGTCACCCGAACTAGTGTCCCCATTGGAAGATTTCTCATCTACTCCTGTTCTGGTGACAACCCAAAAACATTTGAGATTTTCTTTCACTTTCAGTGATAACGATCACTAAGACAAATAGGGGGTGAATCTCCCAACCTGGGACACAGACAGCAATAAAAACCAGACAAGGTTCTAATCCCTCTCCACTCTAAAAGGGGATTAAGTTGCATATATTGAGTTTTATATATTTAACCATTTGGAATGCTTTTGTCACTAACCCATACCATGCGTGTCCCCACTCAGTCTTCAGTGTCGCTGTGGCATAACAGTGAACACCGTGAAGCCTTTCAGAAGCTGCTAGAAGACCTCGCTGTTCTTCACCGCATCACCACCAGACTCTCCAGCCGAGCTGAGATGGTTGGCGCTGTGCGACAGGTAAGGGTACGGCACTGACAGGTGGGACATCTGATGTTCTGTAACACTTGAGCTTCTAATTTCGTTCTCCTTTGACCAGGAAAAGCGTATGTCAAGAGCCACGGAGGTGATGATGCAGTATGTGGATAATTTGAAGAGGACCTACGAGAAGGACCATGCAGAGTTAATGGAATATAAAAAACTGGCCAATCAGAATTCCAGTCGGAATTACAGCGGAAGTGGTAAATGGCACACTGTGTGTATCACAGATACAAATGTTTGTGGTGTTAGTGTCAACTAAGCAAAGTCTTCCTTCCGTCCTGTAGAGAAGCTTAGAAAATAAAAGGAAGAATCTTATTGGCTGGGTACTTGTTCATGAATGAAGATAATGTTTTTACCCACATTTTCCCAAATCTAATAAGGTCCCTACAGTTTGTTACATTAGAGAGAGTTGGGCATATTAGACGTTCCATCAAATGAGGAATTACACTACATTATATAACCAAACATTGGTGAACACCTGACTATCGCACCTATATGAGCCTGTTGGACACCCCATTCCAAAACCATGGTGTCACGTACCTGATGTGAGTCTGAGATGACAAGAAGGACCCTCCCTTGCAGCACGGGTCTGAGCACCCCTGAGAGTGGAACAGGGCCGAAGGACTTCGTGAGGCACGGGTGCCACTCCACTGGGTACAGATGCTGAAGGCACCGGAATGAAGCACCAGGCAGGATACCAGGAATCCAGATAATCAGAAACAAGCCGGGCCGGGTCAGTAACTGGAGAGCTGTGCAGTACCAAATCAGAAGACAGAAGCTGGGTTGGGATAAGCCGAGGTCAAGCCATGCAAGATAAGTGGTGCCAAATCAGCAGACAAGAGGCAGAGTGGTGGAGCAGGCCGAGGTCAGGAGCAGGTGGAGAACAGCAGAGTCAGAGGTTGGGCGCCCTTCTTTTTCTTTTGTTTTCCAGTTCTACAGTTCCCCTGGCTGAAGTGGGGCAGCACCCCTAGCAATCCTGTACACATACCACTCAGTATCAGGATCCGTTCACAGCGCTTGGGCTTCAATATAGAGGTTCAAGCCGGGTCAGATAATGAGCAATCGGGAATCAAGAATCAACGTTGGACACTAACGAAGAACTCTTTAGCATTGAGGACACGCAAGATGCAAGTTTAAATAGGCCTTTTGGCGCCATGATTAAACGTCAGCGACGTTGCGCGTGATTGTGCACTCTAGCGTTCACACGTAAACGTGCTCATTAGCGTGTGCACGTAAACGGGCTCATTAGCGGTTACACGCATGTTCACAATTACGAGCATTACCAGCACGAAACCCTTTCACACACGCATGCGCAATGGCTCTCACAGTGCCAGTTCTATGACTGTTTGATGTAATTCTCCAACACGTTAATATTGAGTTTTCCTCTTCCCACTTTGTGCAGAATTAACTATCTCCATTCTTCTGGGAAGGCTTTCCACAAGGTATTGAAGTCTATCTGTGGAAATGTGTGCCCATTTGCGAGGTCATGCACTTATGGTGGACGATAAGATCTGGCTTGCAATTAGAATTCCATCTCATCCCAAAGGCTTTCAATAGGGTTGAGGTCAGGGCTGTGTGCAGGCCCACACACATTATGGAGCTGGCATTGTGCACAGGGACACAGTGATGCTGGAACAGAGAAGAACTTTTCCCAAACTGTTCCCACAAATTTGAATCCTACGATTGTCCAAAAATGTATTTTATGTTGTGGCAATAACAATAATCTTCTTCAGTGGGAACACCTGACCCTAATGATTTGGAGGAGATGTCCACATCCTTTCAGCCAAGTAGTAGGTGTGATGGTGAGGTATCTACAAACTTTTGACCATATAGTGAACAAGTCACATGATACTTTACCTGGCCAATGCAAATAATCCTAGATTTTACACAAGTTCTAAACTCAACTCAATAAAAATTCTATCAAAAGGTCAGTCCACCCAGAAATAATATTTCAGTGTTTCGTAGATACTAGAGTTTGTGAGGAGTCAGTGGCGTCACAAGGGGGGTGCGGCCCACAACCGGGTGACACCATTGGAGGGGTGACACCAAAATGACTCAGTCATTTTGGTGTCACCCCCCTCTGAAAAGACAGGCGTTTGGTCATGGACCGAACGCCCGACATTATCTGGAGAGAGGAGGGGACCCGGCAGCACACCTTATTCCGCCGGTTGACTATCGGAATACTGCCGCGGTTGCGCGCGCTGACGTCTCGGCGGGGTGACACTCGGTTAGCGCTCCGGGTGTCACCCAGCCTCAGGACGCCCCTGTGAGGAGTTCCCATTATTCCTGTGCTGAGTTCCCGGGTCTGCATGCATGCTGTGTACATTATGAGGGGCTTCCACTATCCCTGAGCTGAGTTCCAGAGTCTGTACACCTGCTGTGCCCATTATGAGGGCTCCCACCATCCCTGTGCTGGGTTCCAGAGTCTATACACCCGCTGCGCCCATTATGAGGGGCCCCCCACCATCCCTGTGCTGAGTTCCCGGGTCTGTACACCCGCTGTGCCCATTATGAGGGGCTCTCACCATCCCTGTGCTGGGTTTCTGGGTCTATACACCTGCTGTGCTAAATGAAAAAATCTTGCGACCTTCTCTTTTCCTTTCACTTACAGATGATGGTGTTCCGCGCTCTTCTCGTTCAATGTCATTGACTATTGGCAAGGTAAGATATTAAATGGAGTGAGCAGCAAAGAATGCATTAAAAAATCCACATCCGTGGAAAGCCTCATGATGGATGAGACTGTGGGGCCATTATTATATTTGTACTGAGCCCTTGTATTCTTTCTATGTATTCTTTCTTTGTATGTTAAATGTTTGTAAGATCCATCACACTAAATGAGATTTCAAATTAAATAGTTTTTTTACATAAAACAGTGAATCAGTTAGTGCTCGCCTCTCAATCTCAATTCTCGGTCTCTGTAAACCACAGGTCTCAAAGTACCAACCCGTGGGTCAATACCGGCCCAGGAACCGGTACTATGTGGTCCGCATCCACCTGACTTGCAGGAGCAGCTACACCACGGTCTGCATCTCTATCGGATGCAGACCACATAGCTGCTTCTGGCTGTGCCGGTAAACGCCGGTGCTCAGTTCCTTTGGGCAAGCGCTCTGACATCCTTTTAGTGAGCACTGGCAGAAAGGATGGGTTAGTAAGGTCTGCATCAACCAAAGGTGCAGACCTTACTAATCAACCACTGGATCACCAGAGATTGTGCCTGCTCCCTGCAAAAACGTAAGCAGGTGAGGGGACTCTTTTACGGGTGACAGCCGCTGCATCTAAGCGCCGGCATACAGCATGTAATGGTATGTGATATGATTACATGTGGTTAGAAAACAATCGCCCTCCCTGGATGCATGATCATGCGTCTAGGGATAGTAATTGATTCCTAACTACATGTATTCATATAGCATGCCATTACATGCAGTTAGGGTTAGGCGTTTACATGCAGATGCCGTCACCTGATCATTAACATGAATGGGCGACAGTTGCCGCTTGTAAACGTCAGATTAGGGATTCCTGCTGCAGGAAAACGCAAGTTCCTGGTGTAAAAATCCCTAATTGCACCTAAACTTACAGGTGTGAATGGGGCCTAACACACACAGAAATGCA